TGATCGATAATTCGGGTGGCTCAGTTGTGTGCGATGGGAGTGTAGAGCAGCTCGGCCATGACGGGCCGTAGGGGTAGGAAACGTCGTGCAGACGTGTGGAAAAACGTGTTGTATCCGTGTTGCCGTGTTGTATCAATCGGGTGCGTGCTCGTGCTCGTCAAACCATCACGGTATCGAGTCACGCCTTCATGCTTTCTCACACAACGAATCTCTCTGAACCTCACCAAAAGCCTCTCACAACCAAGGAAAATATGTAGAAAGTTCCTGTTCCTCCGCATCTCATCACTGCAATATTCGCACGTACGTACATAACATCTCAACCATCATACTATGCTACGAGTATATCGAATAGGGCACACCAACTAAATCTCTCGTGGCTCGACCCACGGAGAACTCAGCGGCATGACCAGAGGAGTCACCCTCATTCCAATGGACGTGTTGTTGAACTGACGTGACATATTGACATTTCAGGAAGTTTTGACGTTACAATGTTACGCCGCTTTTGGGCGGGCAAACTCTGACGTCGATTTTTTTTTTGAGGAGTGGCCAAAATCGGGTACACCCGGCCCCAATCCGGTCATTATCGGGTACAATTGTTTTTCACAGTCGGCAGCCCCCTCCTGGCGCCATCTGATTGGCCGACGCCCGCCCCTACCCGGCCCTGGCCCTATTCCCACCGGGTGCACCCGATTTTGGCTACTCACCCCCCGGAGGGGTACCCGATCTTACTCTCGCCTACTGTACCCGAAAATGGCTGGGGTATTCGACCAACAGACCACCAGCAGACCACGCTCACGAACACACGTCACCAACACCCCGCACTCGAGTTCCGACGCTTCCGACGGCGGGCGGAGGCGGACCTAACACGACTAACGCGGCGGAACTCTCGTTTGAAGTGGATGTCTCTCCTGCAAGCCTCCTCCTGCAATCCACCGCCGACGGCGGAACTCTCGTTTGAAGAAGATCTCGCTCCTGCAAGTAGATCTCGCTCCTCAACCCACCAAGTCTCTCATGGTTTATTTCGGCACTCGTGCCTGAATGGTAGGCTGGCATCGGCAGAACATGAGCGATGAAGTAGTGAACACCGCGGTCCTCGCGCAAGGCGCGTGCTACTTCACCACCAGCCATCTTAGGACAGCGAGCGGTGGGTCAAATGTTCGCGGCAGACGGCCGTTCGTTCGTTGCGAGCAAGAACAGCGGGGGTAGGCAGAAGACTTACCGGGGCGCGGGCCACACCGGAGGCTGCAAAGCACAAGTCCGCGGCTACAAGGGTGCCGACGGAGTGTGGAAGGTGCACACGATTGACGCCGCACACACCGACTGCTCCGGCGGCAATACGAAGGGGAGGACCGCTGCTCTCCAACACCTGGCCTCCACAGCCGTGAAGGACCATTCGCCCATGAATGGCATGGAGCTCAAGCGCAAGCTGGAGCGGGACACAGGGATCAATGTCGCCCACCGGACGGCAAACCGGATGAAGATGACAGCAAAGGACGGCGACAAAGCGACGACGGCGGCTGGGTACCAGCTGCTGGGTACTTTCTGCGACCTGCTTCAACAGCAGTGCCCTGGTTCGGTCGCGGAAACCCAGGTGAGAGTTGTTTTCTCTCGACTGAGTACTCGTGGTCTGCGCATGCAACAAAATGTGTGGCTAGGACTGTACTGATGCAAACGTGTGGTGTGTGGTGTCCACGGGCGACCGGTGTTGGTGATATGGCCACTACATAATGTACTTCAACAGATAGCCCTCAACAGCACAGCTCAACAGCAGTAGCAGGGTAGTCTGTCTGCAGCAGTGTGCAGTCTGTCTGTGTGTTCAGCGCCGATTGTTGGCGACCCCTTCGTTTCCTTCCGTCCTCGCTATACATACACCAGCGTTAGCTTGGAAGGTACCACACCGAGCCCAATTCGAAGCTCAACTGCTCCACGCCGAAGAGGGTTGCCACCAGAAGATTCTGTCGCTCAGTCATTTTGATGACTCTTGATTGATTGTGTCATGTCGATTGATGATGTCGATTGCATCGATTGCATTGCAATCTCGTCTGATGATCGGTCAGGGGGGTCAGTGTCTTGTGCGACATAGGGTGTAGTATCTTGTACCACATAGGTACCGTCCCTACCTCGTGTGTACTACATACAACACGTGTGTGTACTGCACTACAGGAAACTATGTGTACTGCTGCGGCGCTGTTAATTTTGTTTGAAGCATGAAGCGTTGATGCCGGCCGTTTGGTTCCCCCCCCTCGCATGTCAAATGCTGCTGTGCACTTGGAACGACTTCATGTTTTCATAGGTATGATCAGAAGCACGCTGTGTGTTTTATCCCCAATTATTTTTACTCCCTCCCAAATTTTAGACTCCTAATTTTATGTCCAAGTATCAAAGAGGTTCAAGGAAAGCGAACCGAATAGAGTTGTAGATTTGGAACGGGCTTGTCCCTCGCTCTCTGTCGCTACACCTCTCTGTCTTTCCTCTCTAGCCCCCTGCCCCCGCCTCGTCTGTAGCTGTCTATCGTCCCCCCATCTTCGTACCATTTGGTCTCGTATGATGCAAACGTGTATTCAGTTTTGTGGGCATTGTCTCTGTTTATCGTTGGCTGTCCATCTCCTTGTATACTTCGCGCCAACACTGCATCTTCTGTCTTCTGCAAAATTGACGGTTTCATTCTGCATGGATCATTCCCCGCACCCACCACCGGTTTTCTGGCAGAAACACCCAGACCGCACCTTCAAGCGTGTTTCATCATGCTCGGACGTGCGGCGCACGTGGTCACGGAAAGTCCGTTGAAAGTGGGCTAGTTGTTTGCGAGAAATGTGGTGGCGTGGGAGTTGCTTGGAAAGATGTTTCGCTCGTGGAACCTGGATGTTGTTGTGTTGCAGATATGGGCTATTTTTGGAGGGCCCGCCCATCATCATGATAACACACCACCAGAGGTGATTGACATGTTTAGCAGACAACAAACACAGAAAAACTACCCGTTCGAGGTCTAAACACAGTATTTTCGGAGGTGTTGCCCCCCGCCCCCTCCCCCTGCTTCAACAAGTTGTAGTGGGGGGGGTATGCGGCGGTTCCGTCCCAATGCAGCAGTTACTTTCAGTCAAGAGAGAGCAAGGTTGCGAGAAAAAAGGGAACTTATTTTGAAATGGGAATGAACACCACCCCCGTCTTGTGTTCACCCTTTGGATTTAGTTATGATCGAAAGCGCTATCGGGGGGTAGCCGCGGGCAGAAATAGTTTATACAGGCGTTGGTGAGCACGCCAAATACCTGTTGTTGCCATGGCGAAAAACATCACGGGCGACAGACGGAACGTGTTTTCAGGAGGAAAGTGGAAGAAAGTATAGCTTCGGTGATAATCCGGGAGAGGGTGTGATATGAAACGTTGAGAGATTCAATGCCATATCATAACTTTGAGGTGTTTCCGGAGCATTTTCGGCGGTAGAGATGCAGGGTGCATAAAACATACATAGTGGAGACATGGTGGAGAGGAAAGGCTCCTCTTCCCCACGTAGGTTAAGTACGCGAGTTTGTGACCGAACTGCTATCCTTGTGTGTGTTGACCACGCATTCGGCGACCTAAGGTAAACGAACCCGCTTGAGTCCCGCCGCCTCCCGATGCCGCCCCACAGTCAGTGTTGAATTATCGTACAAAGACTAAATGAAGGACGGACAGCGAAAATGCACACACACACACCAGGCACGCGCGATCGGGGCAAATCACCTTGCCTCCTCCCACAGGCAAAATGTCCGAGTACTATGAAAAACTCCGGTTAGAAAGCCCTGGAGGTCACGCTAAAAAGGTGAACGACTGTCGGATCCACAAGCAAGCAAGGTACATGCACCAGTAACGAGTCGTCGAACTACTCAACTACTCCGTCCTCTCTTGCCCCCTACGCGGTCTAAAATGTGCAGCCGTCAACAGCACGCCTGGCGCTGGAGGAGGTCGAAGTGCTGGCGTAGCACTGCTGCGAGGGTTAGGGATCGGGGTGGTGGCCCTCTCGGGCGGTGGGGCAGTGGGAGGCTGAACTATAGCTGAACGCTCCCCCCCCGGGTCACCCCCCGTCCGCTCCCCCCCCTGCTCTTCTTCTACATCGGAATCACTTTCCTCGAGAGAGGAGGTGGGTACGCTCTCTTCAACCGCGTCCCACACCGCACTTGGCAGCTTCCCACTCTGCAGCANATAGCTGAACGCTCCCCCCCCGGGTCACCCCCCGTCCGCTCCCCCCCCTGCTCTTCTTCTACATCGGAATCACTTTCCTCGAGAGAGGAGGTGGGTACGCTCTCTTCAACCGCGTCCCACACCGCACTTGGCAGCTTCCCACTCTGCAGCAAGGAAGGGAAAGTGAAACATAC